AAAAATTTAACATTTGTTAAAAATGGTAAAAAATACTTTGTTTAAGACTATTGTAGTAGAATCAAAACTACTGCAATAGAGGAGGTTGAACTTAACTCCCAGCACAGCAAAGACAGCTGGGGATTTATAGCCAATGAGCAGAGTCGGGGATCAGTGCATGGAAAATTACTAAGAGGAATTTGATTAAATATCAAGGGAAGGGTGATTCTTGCTAAACTATTTTTATTATGATTCTTGCTAAAAGGCAGGTAAATGACTTATGATACCAAGGGTCGGGTGAGAAACTTGATTTGATATGGGATGGAGGTCCATCAACTGACTTAGCTGGATTCTTCTCTAAAAGTAGGCTGAGCAGGCCAAGCCAAGATTACTCGAGAAAGGGACTCACAGGAACTTGACTAAAGTTTGATCAAGGAGGAAGCCTTTGTCAACACATAAAGGAGATAAAGTTGGTTTGTTGGTACCATGACTTCCTTTACAAATATTTGCAGTCCATAAAAGATAGGCATATGATGACCTTGTGCGGGGGCTTTGGAAAAGTAAACTTTCTTCTCCTACAAGTATCTATAAAAAGGATCCTACAGAATCAATGGGCATTGAACAATAATTCAGAGATATAGAGGTGAGAATGAGCTTAGCTTATATATATGGAAGTGAGGGTTATAGTCACACTAAAATGAAAAGCGTGTGGCAATACAACTAGCTAAGTGGAAATAGATTAGGGAAAGCTTGAATAAATTAAACAGACCAAATAAGTAAGTTATGATAATTGTTTTCACTGATTAACAAAGGGAAGTTAAGGGGAGATGATTTTGAATAGGAGATAATATGTCCAGTTTAAGATATGTTGAGTTTGAGGTGATGACAATATATAAATAAAAGCCCTGATGTAATACCAGTCTAGGAAAAGAAAAAGAATTCATGGCTAGTGATGAAAATTTAGGACACAGCAGCACATGTTAACCACTAAATTCCTGGTCTTATTGACCATTATACATACCCTGTGTCTTTCTACACTGGTTCACTAGTAACAGTTATCCTTAATTGAGAGCCTATCACCTGCTGAATGCTGTACTTTCTTTTTATACTAATAATCCCCAATTAATAGATGAGAAAATTTACTTTTTGGGTCATTAGAGTCTCATTCAAGGCCAAATGGATAACGAAAGCAGCACTGGAATTCAGAACAAGTCTGTGGGGACGAAGTGAGCCAGAACCTACTGTCTTTTCACTACACCATTGTGCCAGCTCCTCCTCCCACCAAAAATCCTTTCTCTTTTCACTCTGTGTCTAAATTCTACTTGTTATTATTTAGAATTCACTTCAAATGACTCTTATCCATGGAAACTGTCATGAGGGTTTAAATCCCACCCCTGAATTCTCATAGTTATGCACACATTAATGGCAGTTATTAGTTCCTACCCAGAATTGTAGTTACATATATATTTTCCTTATCTCCCTTTAGTTCATGCCGTCCACACATGATTTGTCTGTTTGTCCTGCAAACATCATAACAACCAGCTCAGTGCCATGAATGTTGCAGGCATTCAATATTTTATGAATGAATAAATGAGTGAATGACAACTGAATCCATAAGAATTACAGAGTAAGTTTAGAGAGACATAAGCAAAGGACTAATGACATTTCCTGACAATATCCAGCAACATATTTTGGTTGAGTTAGTGAAAGAGCAAGGAAAAAAAAGGAAGAGAAATAAATGAAGAGAAAAGAAAGGAAGGGAAAGGAAAGGAGAGGAGAGGGCAGAAAAGAGGAGAGGAGAAGGAAGTGGGAGTGAAGACAGAGATGCTGATAGCAAGATGAATAAGTTAAAAAGACATAAAAAGTGGTAGGAGGGAAAAATGATAGTGGAATGTTGCAGCTTTTAGCTTTCTCCTTTCTCCCTCTAAACTGCTCTAAGGTGTATCAAGAATGAATAAAGTTATCAATGAGGCCACCTGACAAAACCCATCTCTCCCATTCTCCTGGAGTGGAGAAAGGACTGCCTGATGAAAGGATTGAAGAAGTGAAGGTAGGAATCTCTCCCGCCGAGAATGGAAATGGAATTCCTCAGTATGAGTTCTTGAGGAAAAGAAGCATGTGGGGTGATTGAGAGCTATTTTCTGCCATAAACCTTCAGCTGAAACAGTAGGTGAGTTTCTCTGTTATGTAGCCCAACTCACCAGAATAGGGAAACATCTAGAGAGACAACAATCCATTTCTCTGAGCCCAAATATGTGTGAAAGACACAGTTCATTTAATATGTAGATTCTAATGATAAACATAATTTATTTAAAGCTTGGCTTTAGGAGATAATTAAGAGAATCCCTCTAAAAGCGGCATACCAACTCTCCCCAGGTGACACAGCAGAGGAAATGGAAAGGGCATGTGTGTGGATGTTAAACATGGATTCAAGTCTTGACTCTGGGGCATGTCCTTTGGCAAGTCACTTAATTTTTTTGAGCCTCATTCTTTATTTGTCATATGAAAGTAAAAATAAAGCCTGTTGTTAATCTCTTTATTAAGACAGATTCACTGACTAATACAATATGGTAGGTGTTGGAATTGTTGGGGCGAGGATTACTGAAGAAAGAATTGAGATGTGCATGAAAAGCTTCTGTGAAATGTAAAGCACTATTGTTACTGGACAGGGGGCCTGCCCCTGAGGAGCTCTGCCTAGGGCCGGGTGGTAGTGTTTGGGTTCTTGACTTCATGTAGGAAAGATTTCACAGTATGAGTCAAAGTGATTTATGAGGGTACGTTCATTAAAGCTGGGGACATCGAAACAAGGAAGGGCTTAATGTAGAAGAAGCAACAGGAGAGAGCCTAGGCTGGGCTGCCTTAGCTCACTGCGAAGTCCAAGGAAAGAGGGCTTAGGGCACAGGTTCAGGACGGTAGCCTGGGATGAGCTGCTGCTGCCCATTTGCTTCCCTAGTTGCAAGTCTTACGGGGACCCTTAGAGTCCAGGAGGTGCGTGCCTATGGGGGAAGAAGAAGGGAAAGAAGAGGGGGCAGGCAATGGCGAGGGCTGCCTCCCAGAAGGGGAGAGCTCAATGGGTCCTTTGTCTCAAGGCTCTTATCTCTCTCTTGCAGGTGGGAATCTTAGGGGAGGTGTCAGGGGAGGATTAGCAGCATATGCATCAGTTTTCCAGGTGCGCCCTTTCAGGGTCTTGGTCTCCATTGATTGGCCAGTGCCAGGGAAGAAGGTCGTTAGTCATTGCAGCTGGTCCTGGCGTCGCCCACTTGGTTTTGCGGCTTTTCTGGGCCTGGAGCTGAAATACGTCTGAGGCCTAGCTGCTGCCTCTAGGGAGGTGATATTCTGTATCTGGCTTAAATTACTTGGCCATTTGGTTCAATTGTCTCAGTTTCTCTGTTCCACTTGTTCTGGCTTACTGGTCTGTTTTGTTATGAAAGCACCAATTCAATTAATAGTTATTACAAAGATGATTGTTGCATTTCCATGCCCCAGTCTTAGAAATAGAGATACTTGACATTAGTCCTCACTTCTTTCTCTAAAAACTGCAGTAGGTCGTGATGGTGTATTTAATCCTGTGTAAATGACTCCTTAACTTCTCACCAATGGTGCAGAAGATGATTTGACTTATAATTCAAATATTATTTGCTTGGGATAAATACTATTCAGAAATTATCTTTAAATCATTTTAAAAACTCCACGGAAGTAGACATCAAAATGTAGGCACATTTAAAGAGAGCCAAGTACTGTATACTCTTTTAACTTTAAAACAGTGAAGCCTGTGGTAAGTGATTGCCCAAGTTATAATGAGTTCAACAAGCTCATTCTTGTGTGATTTCTAAAGCCAAATTCATATCTGACAAGTTATAGGGATCCTTTCTGGTAAATTGAATTTGCTGGGTGGACATGATGCAAATGATAAGCTACCTTGACATAAACAGCTTTTTAGGGTACAGAAAATATGAGCAATTGAAACTCCTGAGAAAAAGGCACACCTCCTCTGTAGAACATATTTATAAATTATTCATAATGATTTGGGCAAGTTAGAATTTATGGGAAGCTCTTTATAGTCACAATATGTAATAGTAATAATTATATGTTTTAGCTTTTAAAATGATACTTTAATAATCATAACTATATTAACAGTGAGAAAAATTTTAATGTTGTGTTAATTTTAAAACTTTCTGTTCATTGGATAGACCAAACCTAAATATTTTAATTTTATCTCTATGGAAATTATAATTATTATTATTACTATTACTGTTAATATGCTTTCCTGGTCCTCTCTAGCCTTCTCATTGGGGCACAAATTTAAGCGTTGTAGTTCCCAGAACTTGGTAGCCCATTCCATTTCCTCAGACAAATATTAAATGGCAGAACACATGGTGGTAAATGCTATACACTTAAAAATAATTATTTTTAAAGAACTTGTAATAATAAAACTAGATAGCAGACCCAAAAATGGAATATTAAACCTCTGTTTTTAGACAAGCGGAATTGTCCTCCCCTGCCACTAAACTACAAAATATCTTGATTTGCAATGAAAGCCAGTCTGTACTGAAAGGCAGTATAATTGACTTCAGATTCAGGAATATTTCTTTTATTTACAGGTGATGCTGTTTCTTAGCTTGCAAATATCAAAACTCCCTGTGTTGGAATCTGATAGAGTTGCTAGGAATTTGGGAGCTGGTGCAATTCTGTTTCCACCAATGGGGGCTTTTCTGACTTCAGGGTTTTCTTTTCTTGTTTGAAGTATTTTTACTTCCCTGGATTATGTCTACAGGTAACAGGAAGCCAGCGTTTCAAAGGAAAACTTGATCACACTGCGAGATAACACAGGTATCCTAACCGAGAGTGTGAGCGCCCCGAGGCTTTATGCTGCTGCCAGAAGTACATATTTTTTTGATTGGTAACTGCCCGATGACGCTTCATCAAATATAAATGCAAGAAAGACTCAGAGAGCTCCATAAAAACCTTCCACCAGCCAGTCTAGGAGGATAAGAGGGAGATTCTGGTACCGAAGGCACGAGATGGCTTTCCGAGTGCCAGCGTCAGTCTGTCTCTTATTCAATGGTAGGTAATTTCTTTTTGCTGTGTTAATTTTGTGTCAGTGTAGAATAGGAATAGGATCTGTTTTCTCTGAATTGGTGAGAAGTTGGTTTTTAATAGTTGTTCTTCATGACAAAGATTAGAGCAAGAAATCTGTGAATTTAGTGTCTTATGTAATGCAGTTCCTCTCCTAGTACATTGTGACACCGCTTTTTAAAAAAAAAAAAAACCCTTTAAAATAGTTGCTTTGTAAAACTGAAGAGTAGTTAATACATTTTGACTACTACAAGTATATCACAGAATCCTTGTGATTGAATCAGTATATACATGTATTCACTTTCTCTTAAATATTAGTGTGTTTTTTATTTTCTATAAGGGACTGGGTACAGATGAGAAACTGCCAGGAAATTGCTGTAGTCAGGTTATGGATCTCAAATGTAAATGGATTAAAAATCAAACACAAATGGGAATAAATAGAATAACTTTCAATCTGTTGCTTATACATAGAAGGAAGCTCACCTGCTAAAGATGCCTTTCTTCCCCTTCATCCAGCAATGGCAGCGCTGACAGAAGAGGTAGCCTCGAACGGAACACTCGCGATCACAGCCGAGCAAAGTAGTTGGGTAGTTAACAAAACAAAAGGTATTTTCTTCTTACTTTTGTATTTCCAGTGACTTCTTTTTAATCTTTGAGAGAAATCTGGATTGCGATAAGAGTAACATTGGAAAATTTTAATATGTATTTTATGATTAGATAACCAACTCTTTTAGTTGGAAGTGACAGGTTAATGGGGTCTGCAAAGAACTGGCTTTTTAAAAGGAAGAAGTGAAGCAATTCGGGGACTACTACATTTTCTTCTTGGTTCCTCCTTCGTTCCCTACAAACCGCGCATGTCCAGAGGCAGTCTGTCAACATTTGGGCATAATATTTTGATCTGGGACTATGAGCTTTGCAATCAAAGAACTTCTGGTTACAAGATGAAACCTTCATTCATGTCTCCTCATCTTTGGAAATATCTTTTTCTTGTTTCTTTTGGGGGGCTTGTGTCGTTATTTTTTGCAGAGGCTATATTTCCTAACTACTCTACTCAATTTTTAATGGTGATAATAGGTTTTCTTTATTATACTATTATTCTTATTTGAATAGCTTCCTGCTGCGGTTGAGCAGCAACATATTTTCAAACTTGTTTGAACTCTTGGGGATGAACTTGGAAAGCTTGTTGTTACCTGCCAAGACCTATGTCCTGGGTGGTTGTAATTCTCACACAAATCACATACCGCCCCCTGATGTGGAGATGGGTGATGTGACAAAGGACAGAGTACCACAACTTGCCCTCAGAGCCAGACAAATTAAAAAAGGACAAGTCAAATATTTTTCCTCAATATGAAAGATAGTGTTAATGAAGAATTCTTCATTTCACCAAAAATTTTAAATTTTAAAAAATGTATTCAAAATATTTTTGCCCATTTGAGGTTTTTAATATCTATTAATTTGCAAACCAAAATCTGTGTGGGGTTTAGAATAACTTTGATGACTTCATGTGTTCTGAACCTTTGAACAAAAAAGAAAAGAAATATCTTCATTAGAAAGTAATACTGCATAAAATTAAAGTATGTGTGCTCTCAATGACTGAGTTCCTAACAGCGTGCCGAGACTACCTTTTTTCTTCCTTACTAAGGAACTGCAAGAAAAATTCTCCAAGTCACAGGTAATTATAATAGAAAAATAGCAATTGAATATATCATCTCTCTAGTTTTTTCTTGCTTTTTATATAATTTCAATATCTGAATACAGTATTTTAGGAACTTTTAAAATATTATAGATAACTAGTATTCTTCTCCTTAGGGAAAAGATAAATCTCCATAGTACGTATGCCCTTTCTTTGGGGATTCCTTCTTTCGGTTTTCACATTTTCTAGCAGATCCTGATTCCAGGCTGAGTCTTGAGGTAGAAAGAACCTAGCCCAGTTTATAATGCAAAATTCTCACTGCTTCAGAATTAATTATTAAACTGAGAAATTAGGTTCATGATACCACATTCAATGAAATGAATGTGAATTTTCAGGTATTGTAGGTTCTCAATCAAAAGGAATTTCTACAACACAGGATCTTGTTGGTGTCTTGATGCTTAGAGATTTAGTATTTTCCATACAAAAAAAGTCCACCTTTTTAGAAGTGAACAAATAAATAGGAGTTTCTTGATTTTCTGAGCAAGACAAATATGGTGTAATATAATAACTAAGGATGAGGAGATATTCATGACATATTTATTCATAACAGTGACAAAATAAAATGCCACTTAATCTACTTGAGAAAAATTTAAGAATCAGCAATTAAAGTACACCAAAGAGGACTCAGTTATACAGTTTTACTGCTGCCATTCCCCCAAGGATGATGTAGGTGCATGTCCTTAGCACATCAGGGAATGAAGAGTAAGCATCCTGAAATATGTATATTTTGCCACAACACAGCTTCCCAAAGGGAAGATTCCCATAAAGAGGCTTCTGGACAATTGACCACAGAAGTTCTGTCACGTGTGGTGCCTTGTATAGTATAGGAGCTAGAAATCAAAACCCAGGTTTTTAAATTTCAATTCCAAGGCTTCTCCCACTATGTCATAAGGTCTCTTAAATAAGTGAAATTTCTAAATGATATTTAAAAGTACTATCTTAACTATGTTAAGTCTGAGTCATAAGTTGATTTGGCTTCTTATACAGGTCATAGCTATACTTCTTCTAAAAAAGGAAAATGTTCCCTTTCTAATTAGCTGCTCTTGGTAGTCCACACAAGAGGGGGTTCTCATCTCACTCTCCCGTGGGAGAAGAGAAATCAGCTTATTACCGCACAATTATAAACCCGAATCTTCCTAAATGCTGACTCCTTGGGTGTAAAGGGGAGAATGAAAAAATTATGTGAGATCTTTTTAGACTTAGCAGCATTCAGGCATACATTTGGGAAGGCATGTTCAGGATAGCTTGCTAAAACTCAGTTTGATGCTGCCACCTTTTGGCAACCTTGTCTCCTATAGCCTATTATGTAGCTTCTAAAGAAGGGAAAAATTGTCCATTTATCTCCACCCCCTAATTAATTATTGATGTGTCTAGGTGATATTACTCTAACCTTTGTGAATATAACCTGCCAAGGAAATGAATCAATACTTCTATGGACGGAGCCCTCAAAGAATATCCTTATAATTAAAGGTCCCTTTAACATGTTACAAATCTGCTATAAAACTGTGAGTCACTTCCTCTGTTAATGTTGTTTCTCTTTTTCCTATCTGACTACCCAGAAGGACCCATAGCCTTGAAGTTCTCGCATCCTTGCCTGGAAGACCACAATAGTTACTGCATCAATGGTGTGTGTGCCTTCCATCACGAGTTGAAGAAAGCCATCTGCAGGTAATTGCAAAGACCTTTCCAAGTCCTGGAGACAGGAGAAGGTGAATTTATGCCTCTGGTGTTTTACCTAGTACATTTCCACACACCTCTATTTTGTGGAGCAAAAAGGGTACATGATCTGATCATGACTCACCAATCCTCTTTGTAGTCAAGTATCTAAGGAGCCTTTTTCTAAGCTACCTAATCCGCATTACTCAAAAATATGGTTCCCAGATTAGCAGCATCTGCATTACCTGGGAGCTTGTTAGAAGTGCAGAAGTGTATGCTCCACTTCAAAACTACTGAATCCATGTCAGCGTTTTAATATCATGCAAATATGATTATAGGGTGAAACAAAACAGGTTATGGTAAAACACTTCAACAATATAAACTTCTAGAGCAACTAAGATACTATTTTTATGATCATTGATTTGCTCAGTATCCTCCTATGAAAGAATAAGTAATTTTCTAGATCAAGGCATGCAAGCACATGTACTACCTTCCCCTTCCACCAATAAGGACAGTTGCATTGATATGCGGACTTAATGAAAGGATTATTGCAAAATATATAACTTCTTCAATACTGTAACAAATTGGCTTTTATTTGGTATTTGCCCTTTTAATTTAAATTGCATACTTTCCATTGAAATTGTTTCATTCTTTGAAGTTGGTCTTTGTATTTCTATCATCGTGAGTTTTAAAATTATTCATTCTTTTCTTTTTGTAAAGGTGTTTTACTGGTTATACTGGAGAAAGGTGTGAGCATTTGACCTTAACTTCTTACGCTGTGGATTCTTATGAAAAATACATTGCAATTGGGATTGGCGTTGGATTATTATTAAGTGGTTTTCTTGCTATTGTTTACTGCTACATAAGAAAGAGGTATGAAAAAAAACAAAATATAACATCACTGGGTACTCATTCATTTGAAAAATATTTATTGAGCCTCTACAATGTACTAGGCATTGACATGTATAGTTTTTTAGTGAAAATATAGCTGGAAATCTGACAAGCTCCTACATATTTGTTTTGATGCTTTTTCTCATAAACCCAGACAAGCAGTAAAAATGCACCTGCAGTAGCAGTAAGCTCCAATTTACAATTTCCCTCTATCTTCATCTCTGTTTACATACACATAAGTGGGGAGCACAATAAGTCCCACAAGAGTAGAGATTAAATGTCTCTCATTCACAACTATGTACTCGGTGCTGAATACTGTGCGTGGCACACAATAGACAGTAAATATTTGTTCAATGAAAAAAAATAAGAAATTAGTATTAAATGAATGTAAATGTGTGAAAAACAGGAGCCATTTTTTCCCAACAATCAATTGAGGGTATATTCAGGAGGTACTATCTACTTTGAGATGCTTAAAAAGATAAGCTTAAACCACTAAGTATAAATTACTTGTGTATTAATTCTTATTTCCAGTGTATCTACACTGATAATTCTTTTCCTTAAATCCACGTAGTGAGGGAAAATCAAGAAATTGCCCTGGTTAGTGTGGCTCAGTGGACTGAGTGCCAGCTTGCAAACCAAAGGATCACTGGTTCCATTCCCAGTCAGGACATATGCCTGGTTTGTGGGCCAGGTCACCAGCAGGGGGCGCTCGAGAGCACCCACACATTGATTCTCTCCCTCTCTATCTGCCTCCTTTCCTCCCTCCCTTCTCCTCTCTCTAAAAATAAATAAATATTTTTTAAAAAAATAAGATAAAGAAAAAAGTATAAATATATTTCCCTTGCTATACTCTATTAACTAAATTGTCATTTTTAAAAATGACCAAGACTGTCAAAATATGAAAATTTTTGGTTGCGTAATAATTATATCTTAGAATAAAATCCGTTATATCAAATGTAGATCAATTGATATAAAATCTGTTATATCAATTGATATTATTATGTCAATTTCCTAAGAAACCAAAAAGGAAAGAAAAAAGTAGTAGACCTTTTAATGTTAAAAAGACAGTTGTCTGCCCTGACCAGCATGACTTATTTGGTTAGAGCATCATCAGTCAACTGGCAAGGTCACTGGTTCGACTTTCAGTCAAGGCACATACTTGGGTTGCAGTTTCAATCCCCAGTTGGAGCACAGGCAGGAGGCAACAAATCAATGTTTCTTTCTCACGCCCTCACTTCAATGTTTCCCCCTCTCTCATCCTCCCTTCTCCTCTCTCTAAAAATCAATAAGCATGCCCTTGGGTGAAAATTAAAAAAAAAAAAGAAGATAACTATCTTAGGTCAGGTTCCCCAGAAGCAGAACATAAAATAAGAATTCTTATGCAAGTGATTGGTTGAAGGACACCCTAAGATGAAACCTGTAATGAAGTAAGGAAAGCTAGATCAGAGGAAGAAGGTGAGAAAAGATGTGACATTAGCTGAAGTAGTGCATCAACCTGATCGCACAGGCAGATCTTGAACCGGAAGGCATTACAGACCTATCCCCAACAAGATGAGGGATCTTGGTTTTAGCACCCTGTGTCATCAAGCATGGGTGGCAGGATATTCCTGACAGGGTAGTGAGCACAGGCCAGGAATCTCTCAGGAATCATTAGGCAAATTTCTCTGTTGGCGCAGGGCAATCCTCTGGAGAAGGATGCTGCTCTACGCCTGTTAACACCCATAGCTGCTGGGGAAGGATCCATCATTGGGTAAAAGGGATCTGGGGGTTCCAACAACAACTGCTACACAAGAGCACTTATATAATCCTCAATAAGCTATACAAACAGTACAAATTCATACGGAAATCAATACTCTGTTTCAGGTGTCTAAAATTGAAATCCCCTTACAATGTCTGTTCCAGAGGAGGACCGCTGTGATGCCTTTGTAAGAAATTTTTATGAGGCATTTGTAAAAATGAATGGACCTAAAATTAGAATTTTCAAATGAAGCAACAAAACTTCCCAAGCCAACTAGACTTGAAAATAATGAAAACTGGGATCATGATGACATGAGAGAATAAATTTCAACCTGGTCTTTCAACTTTGTCATCATGGTGCCATGGGAGCCAATGGAACAAGCTTATAGTGACAGAAGTCAAGTTCACAGTACTACTGGTGGGCCTGTTTCTGTTGTTGTATGGTTATTGTTCTTACCGCAGAGAGACTGAGTTCCATGCTTCTAACCATGACAGATGTGAGTTTTCATGGGAATAATTATCAACCTTGCAGCAAGCTAAAGCAATGTGAAGCTTGGGATCTTCATGTGCTTGCTACGAGTAGTTTGGACCATACTGCTCAATGGACCTAATCCCAAACATGCTGCTTTTATAGTATCTAAAAGAATGTGATGTCAACTATTTGGATGAGATCAGTGTTACAGCACCTTTGCTGAACCAAATATGTGCCTGGAGTCTAAGCCAGAGACAAGAAAATAGGATGTCCAAGGCAAACATATATCATACCCAGCTTGTGACAACAACGTGGAGACTTTACCTGTGAAATATGGAATAAGCTAAAGAATTTCTGAATGACTGAAAGCTATTTGGATATCAAGCCCTGAGTGGGCAAAACCTTTCTGTTTCTGCATGGGTTATAAAATGTTGTGTTGGACTCATTGGTCCCCTAATGCTTACACGCTCATTGCTTCCTCCTGTTGATAGTGGAATTACCAGGTGACTATCCGTTTGGACTGAAATTCTAAAATTCTACTAATAAATGAAATTCTACAATTGACCCTGAAAAGGAAACAGAAAAATTGGACACAGGAATTTTTTTCATCAGCCAACAGCATGTGGAAATCTTCTTTACCATTTCTGAATGCTTAATAGCAAATTAGCACATACAGAAAATGGAACAATGGTAGAAATAACTATATAGGAATTAGGGCCCTTTGTCTTTAATCACATTTCGTCCATGTAATTAGAATAACCTTGGTCCAGACAGTTGGTATCTTTAGGCTTTGCCTTCATTATCTACAAGGCCCTTCCAGCTCTAAACATTGACAATGGAAGAAGAAAGCAGTTTTTTCTTGTCTGTGCTGCAAGTGGGATATTCTCAATCCCCACCTCAAATCCAAAATGCACCACTGGCTTCTTACATACATACACCTATCATCTTAGGTGTATATTTTAATGTTTGTTTTGTAAAATAATGATTTAAAATTTGTTTTTAAAGAAAGCAAAACATAAAATTTAAAAATAATATCTACAATTTTTCTTTTAGATTCAGTCTAAATCTCTGGACTATTTTTCATTGTGATGTTGATAAGCAAAACAATTTTGATCATGAGATGGGTTAAAACAGGATCAATAATGAACATTCTTATGAGTGCCTAGTAACAAGCCTTTCACTTGTATCAAGTTATGCCTTTTCATTCACTCTTAGACAAAACTTCACATTCTGCTTTCTTTTGAGTAGAAGGCATTTCACTTGCTTTGTTTTGCCTTCAGTAGGAATTTAAGGCAGATGAGTTGCGTGTCAGCGCTTTTTGCGTGTCCTCCCAAAGTATGTAAAGGTTACATCATAACAAGGAGTGGAGAGGTGAAGGTTCCTCCCAGTGACTCTGGGGACCACACCTAGAAAGCTACGCTCTCCCTGGGCATTTCACAAAGGTGTAAAAAGCTGGGGAGAGTCCAGGAAGAAACAATAAAGCTTAATTAAGGACTGCCTCCTGATGAAAGAGAAATTAATGCTGAAGTCTGGAGAGGCAATAACCTAAAAAGTTACAAACGTTTGCTGTCTACAAATATTTCTCAATTGTAAACACAGTATAGTTGAAATTAAACATTAAGCAAAAAATTAAAATTCCCAGATTTCCAAACAGAAAAGTGTACCAAGACAAAAAAAAAAGAGATTAAAATATTTTCACCTGTGGAATAGTATGCATTAATAGTAGAAAATCCACCGGGGAGACTATAGAAATGTAGAGCATGGCTCCTGAGAAGCCATCCTTTTATGGCCTGTCATACACATGATCCTGTGATCCCATAACCCCTAGAGTTAACTTTAAAGGAAGGAATCCCTGGCATTCCTATAGAGCTAGGGCCACATCTGGCAATATTTATGTAGGAAAGCAGGACTTAAGTAAAAAAAAATACATAAATACAAGATGTCTTGCAATTTTTTTTTTTTTACTTTTTATATTTTTCTATGTTCAATAAGACCCTGAAAGGAGTCTACCAGTGAAGCCCTTGCATCAGAATTGTATTTTCAGATATCAATCTATGGATCATTAGGTGGGTGGATCATTTAGAAAAAAATGGGAACAAGTTGCTGGCATTTTTGACTAAATCAAACTGGCCAAGGGGTTCGTCAATGTCTTCCATTTCAATTTTGTCTTCTTCCTGGGTCTATCCTTCCATTCTCTGAGAACACATTCCAGAATATGAATATTCATGAGTTAACATTTTGAAGCATGATGGGGGTGGGAGCAAGTTCTACAATTCCAGTCATACTTGAGCCAGTAAACATATAAAAAGGGAATTATAATTGCTTGTTATTGTATCTTCTTTCCCTTAGTTTTTTTTTGGAAGGGGGGGTATAATTATGTTTTTATAACATTTGAAATGAATGAAACTATAACATAATTTATCATTTAGTGTTTCCTGGAACAATACAAATATAATCCTTTAATTTTGAAATGCCCTTTTTGGTGATATCAAGGTGATTTTTATTCATGATATGTAATTGAAAAAAAATCTTAAGAAGAGTACAAGGCAAACCCTAGCAATGTATGTTTTTGATGTTGAACATGAAAACAGTTCCTCTCTGCAGAAGACCATGAGTAAGCCACTTAACTTTTGCGAATTACAAAATGTAACACACTGTGTGTGGTGAAGGCAAATACTGATATCCGGCAGCTCACGCTCATGAAGGAGGTTACCAGAACCTCTGCTGCAATGTACCTCTCTTTCTGGCCCATCATGGTTGCATGACATCAGAATACTAGCATCTGCCAAGAGGAACTGGAAGTGTTGAAATTTAATTTGTCAGAGTCTGGCACTGCTAATGTGGGTGAGTCCACATTTCTGTCCAAACCTTTGGCACAGTTCTTTTTGGTAGCACATTCAGAAGAATGTCTTCCAAATTGAGCTCTAAATTTCTGTTAATTATTCAATCAATGAATGTACAGCTCAGAGTAAGAGAGCCTAAGCAAATAATTTCCTAAGTATTCAAAGGCTAGGCCCCTTGAGAATATCTGCTGAATAAATGTTTTCCTTCATTATATTTCACCTCTCTGCCAAAAATCAACATGAGGGATATTTCAGATTGTGGGCAACACCCATAGCTTCCAAAAAGATATCTCCTAAAGATTAGGAATGTTATTATGTGGTAAGAAGGAGAATTGAATTATTTAGTCAGGGCTTATCTGTATACTCCATGTCCTGTCTTTGTAACTTATATGTCTCAGATATTATTAGAACATAATTCTAATTCAGGTGGAGACCATATTCAAACAAGTATCAGGTGGAGACCATATTCAAGCAAGTATCAAATTCACCATGCTTTTGATCTTTCAGAGAATGTTAATTGGGCCTCACATCTTTCTGGAAAGAATGATCTCTCTAGATTTTTAAAATATCACAAAAGTATTGATTTAATATTAAGTCCCTTTTCAGATCAAAATGAAGCAATCATGTAATAGAGCTACCATTTATGAGCACTATGTTTAATAAACATTATTAGCTTTATTTTTATTAATCCACACCTGCGTATAACTGAGGTGTAGAGAAGGCAATTCACTTTTTCAAAGTGACATAGCCTTTAGGTGAAGGGCCTAGACCTGAACCACGTCTGATGCCAAAGTCTCTCACCTAAACTCTGTATGACAATGCTTTGTAATATTTTATAGAAAATATTAGAGTTGGGGTTAATTTCTTGAGGAGCTTAGAGATATACCCAAGTGATTTGTATGCAATATATAAACATAGAAAATAATATAAAATTTATAAAATAGTAAGTTTTGTCCTGGATCAACCACAAAAACTCCCTGCTGTCACCTGCAGATAGTTAAGTTATGCATACCATCCTTAGGGTGGGGCCCGAACAGGCCTCAAGTACCTGCTGACATTTGAATGTACAGGCTGTGGAGACACTACAGGCTGCAAGTGAACCCTGGTTGATCCTCAGGACTCCGTGTACAAGAAGGTCACTTGGGAGTATTTGACCCCTGCCTGAGAATAAGTGTTCTCTGGCACTGATGTTACCCTAACTGGGCCATGCCTGGCCCAGTTTCGTGATGGGATGAGGAGTGGTTGTCACATCGATAGTAAAGTCTCATCAACTGCCTTTTTACTATATCACCCTCAACCTTACCCCTAGCCCCACATACATTAAGAAATCTGTGCAATGGATAAACACCTTAAAGAACTGTGATCTTGTCTAGCTGTGTGATTATTTAACTTTGGCAGGATCCTTTGGACACGAAATTCTTGTCTGCTAAGTGAAATTAGACTCTAAAGATGAGCTCTATGTTCCTTTCCTGGTTAGAAATTGTATGGGAAAAATGTGCAGCCTAGAATGCAGATCCAGCCCACAGATAGATTTATTTTGGTTTCCACAGTGTTTGTTTTTAATCAACACTACATCTACAAATCAAGATGTTTTGCTGTAAATATCTAGCTTTTCTAGCTTCTTTTGAAAACTGGAATTAGAGAGCACTGGCCCTTTGTTCTTACACAGCTTTGGTTAGGAGTGTGTCCTGGACACCCACCTTGTTTCTGTCACTATGCTGAAGGTCAGGGTTCCTACCGGCCTTTAAGTCTGCATCCTCTCTGTTCTTTGACTAGACTTAAGACAGTGCCTCATCTAAATTCCTGATCTAGTCATCAAGGTGCCTGCAGAGGGCCTTGTTGGACCACAAACTGCATAAGCCATGA